GGGAATAAATGTGTGCTCCGGAGGTTTTATCACTCTGTTTAATACCGCTTAGAGTCTGGGTGCTGATAATTACCCGAGCCGGAGGCGAGGGTTTTATCAGCACCCAGACTCTAAGCGGTCTTAAACAGAGTGATAAATACCGACGGAGCACATATTTATTCCCATTCATAAATACCTTTTAGGTAAAAAAAATCAAATAATTCGTTCAAAAAATCCTGATTTTGTTCACAACAAGTTCACTTCATGCTTTTTGAAACATCCCTCTAGCAAAATAATGGAGTGTTCAGCTGGCGAGTAAGATGTAAACAACCCTTTTATGGAGATTGACATGCGCGTGACATGTTCTGCGCGATGTCGTGCAGAACGCACCTGGGGCGTTGCATTTTGAATTTAGAACTATAAAATTCTGACTCACTGGTAGTGTTGCGCATGCCTACGTGAGGATTGTGAACGTTCAACCAATGAAACGGTAAGAGGCACTGGATTTTTAGGAGTCCACATTTTATTGTGACACTGGAAAAGTGTTTAAGACCAGCTAGCCATGTCTTTATCATCCGTTTAAGACCGGCCACGTGACGGGCTCTCGACCAATAGGAATAGCTAAACTGTCTGAGGTATTTATGAATAAAATATAATGAAAAGTGCCAATGTTAACATTTTTTAGTCATCTTCCTGTACACCCGTGCTCAGCTTTAAGGATTTTATTTGCAGTACTTCAAGCTCGAGACCTGTTTTCCCAATTTTCTGATGGTGCTTGCCCTCACGAATCCTGTACTCATGCTTACAGCATAGATCAAGGAACAGACTGTTCCTTACTCTGTGCTTACGGGGCCTTTGCGAAAATTTTGCCTGAAAGGTTTTATTCAGAAAACATATGTGGACGATTTGCGAATGCCTTTACTAACCCGTGAAATATTCTACGCATGAAAAATCTCTCCGACAAAGCGGCCGACTCATTGCTCGTGGCGCGCTCAAGCCAAAATCAGCTTTTTTTTTCTCTTCCAGTGCATCGCTGCAGTGAAATCATCAGCAGTAAGCCACAAGCCCTGTGTAAATGAAAAACATGTCGGGATTTGCACTCTGCAGTGCGGTGCGGTTCACATACTCATTGGATAATCTACAAGGAGAGTAATGAGATCACAACCACTCAGCTGTGTTAGCATGTATTGACTTTCCACATGGGAGCGTCTTTATTTCTCCCTGTGCTGCATGTGTTATCATTGCATAGTACGGTATGCAATCTACATGTGCAGGTCCTTATCTTATCAGCCATTTCCAGACACCAGGTTTCTTGGTAATTTGATTTAGTGTGATGTCCTGGTCTTGCATTTTTTTTGGGGGGGGGGTTGTTGTTGTTAGTTCTTTGTTTTGTTGCGTTTGAACAAAATCATGAAGTAAGATTTGAGGCTTTGCATGGTGGAGATACTAAATAACGAAAAGTTTGCGGAAACACCATGTGCGAATAATTTCTCAACTAAGAGAATGGTTCTAAAAAGAACCAGAGGTATAAACTCGACGTTCCGGTCAGTATGCTCTGACCGTCTTCAGGAGACGGTCAGAGCATACTGACCGTCTTCAGGAGAAATTATTCGCACGTGGTGTTTCCGCAAACCTTTCGTTATCTAAAATCATGAAGGAGTACATGTACGTACCAGATAAGTGCACATACGTAGTGTAAACAATGGTATACGAGTACGAGTAGACTACATGTACGGTAGGATTATATTATTCCTGGTTAGTGTGGATCATATGTTTACATCTGGTAAGGTTTGTTACATGTACATAAATATACATTACATGTGCGGGCATAATAAACTGAGCGAGTTCTTGTGTCCTGCATACGCGTGCACTCGGCTGGTATTACTAAAGCTTCAAATAAGCAACTTGAACTGCCTGTGTCCTACATGTAGTTCCAGTGCAGATATCTGAATTGTTAATTTGTAATGCATCAGTTGTGGATGGAATTTCCACGTTCGCTGAACAAACAAAGTACCCGGCACAATGTACGTAATTTATGGAAATCAAGTTATTTAAAGGGAATGTACAACATTTGCTTTTGCTGTAATTTTCAGAAATAAATAGATTTGGGGGAATAGTATGTCATGGCAAATATTGTTACACTGACTTTCATGTATTGGGCCATAGATGCTGGAAAAACCAAGAAAACCAATCATGTTCTTGTAGTCTAGTTCCCTGACCCCACTTACGGTAAGATGAAACGGAGCAATTTATAGACGCTGGGGAATTGTAAGGTCAGAGAATCAATCAATTGCAAAGAAAATGCAGAATAACTGAATATGAAAAATTAAGAACACTTTTTGAAAAAAGCCAGTTTTTTCCAACGCTGGTCAGCCGACCAGCGTTGGAAAATGGAAATCGATACAAAAATGCCGCTGTACTTGAAAATATCAGCACACCAGGAGCCACGATTGTATGGGATGCTTTAGACTGTCATTCCCCACCAGTTCATTAAAGAATTTCCTGATAATTTGATCAGTCTGGTCTTTTCCCTTTTTGTACCAGAACCTCTAGGGTGGTATCTTGATGATTGGCTGCATTGTGTGACCTTTAATTCTACCTGTCTCCACAGTGTAGCATTCTGTTACATAGCCACTCCACTCTTGTTTCTGTCCCCGATGATGCCTCTGTGCTAAAGGCTGGGTGTTATTTTATGCCTTGGAGAGCTCACTCGATCTGAAAATCAATCACTTGGATGCATCTTGTCTTGGTTGTCACAGATAGACACTGAATTCATTGACTGTTAGTCTGGTTCAATGTATGCAGACTCTAAATATTTTTTAACAGAAGCACATGGTAAGGATGTGACGTTGAAAACAATTCTAAATTCATTTACAAATTTTCCAAAAAAGTAACGAAACATGAATTGTCAAAAAGCATGAAAAGGGACATACATGTACAGTATGTACGTTCACGCAGTCGTTTGAGTTAAACCTACATGTACATAGCACAAATAATTAACTACATGTACATTGTATGTTTTCAAAACTATTTAATTTACAAATCCTTCGAAGCACTTCAATGCTCTACTTCATTACATTCAGGGCACATTTAGTTAAGTAAGATTTGAGGCTTTGCATGGTGGAGATACTAATGAATGAAAGGTTTGCAGAAACACCATGTGGGAATAATTCTCAAACTAAGAGAATGGTTCTGAATTGAACCAGAGGTATGAACTCGAGGTTCCTAAAGACGTTCAGAGCATACTGATTGGAACGACGAGTTTATACCTCTGGTTCTTTTCAGAACCGTTCGCTTAGTTTGAGAATTATTCTGGTGTTTCCGCAAACCTTTCATTCACATTTAGATAAGTTTTTACTTTTTCAATGACTGCCATTGTTGATTTATCATGTCAATCACGCTGGTCTGCAGACATAATGAGCATGCGTCAGCTTTTGTGAATGGCTAAACATTTCAACTTTTAAACGGTTCTTAAAATATTTGCAAAACATTTACAAAATCAAGTCACATCCTTCGCTACATGTACGGTTACGTGTACATGTCGCAGAACACAGAATGTCTTGACAGCAGATGTAGATGATTTTGCGTTCATTTGACAAGACTTTTTGTATATGGTTTGCTTTGTATATGTTGAAGAATGTAATTATCATATATGCAGGACTGTTTTGTGTTTCGAATTACCAATATCATGTATACAGTAAATTTACGCTTGCTCGCCCATGCATAGGCCTACATTGTGTACATCATCGTGTACAAGTGAACATGTGTCTGGGCAAACTGACTTTGCCTACATTGTTTAACAGAAATGGTTGAAGACCCCGGCACAAGATCAATAATTGTAATTTAGGTGAAGACGCCTACATGCATACCGGTACATGCAAGCTGTATGCTTTATCTGTGCATTTTGGATGTACATGTATGAGAGTAGACCTGTTAGATTGACTACAAATAAGCATGTACGATGTACGGTAAATCAGCAAATAATGCTATATACAGCAATCACATTCATTTTCCATCGATTGACATTGCTCATGGCGTTGCCTTTTTTCACTTGAAAATTTTTCAATGCAGTCAACGAAGTCGGGAAATGGAACAGCGTGTTACTGCTTTTTTTTACGGCCAAAGTGATTCGAATCATATTTAAAAAAATCATTCATTATAGAAAATTCAACAGTGTGCATACGTGTAATAGAATTTATAATTATATTCGTAAAGTGGATTTTAATTCTGATAAAACGTCATGTACTACAGTAATTAAAAAAAGAAATTATTCATCCAAATTTTTTGCTGTGGTAGAAATCGGCTCGAAACACCATGTGCTGGATGTATGCAGACAAACAGATTTTTGCTGTTTCATTCTTCAGTTAAAAGTACCGTAGCAGCTGAGGCCAAGTTCGGGCAATTAGGACCATTAGTCGACTAGTGGTTGATTTGTGACGTACCCTTACCCCTGCGCACTGATAGCAACGTGTGAACGTCTCTAGTCAAACGCTGGTCAAAATGTCATCGCAAAACTTCTGGATCCTGGCTTTCTGCTAGCGTTATGAATGCGCGCGGCTATTGGTTACCAGCGATGCAACCAGCCCCAGTAGGTTGGTTCCAAATAGTCGAATAGCGTTGTCAACCACCGTCGACTAGACAGAGTTCGGGCAAGCTTTAGTTGAACTATGGTTAACCATTGGTCAACAATAGTCCTTGCGCGAACTTGGCCTCTACTGTTCAACGTGGTTAGAAACTATAATTCAATAAAATACAGATGATAAGCCTAAAATGATATTCATCTTTCGTTTGTGGTATTTAGTCCATTTTGAAATTTTGGCACCTTTTTGATTATAATTCGGTGCACTTGCCCACTTAAACTTATTTCAGGATTTTTTTAGAATTGCAGAAAACATACCAGATTGCTTTCTCGCGCCAGTACGGCATCTCGGGTGTCCTGCAAAAGTGTCAGAGCCCACTTGAACGCATCCCTGTGTTTATTTGTTTCTTTGTTTGTTGTATATTTCTGATTGACACTGCAGGCACCGGTAGCCATGGCTAGCTACTCCAACATGACCCCCGGCGCGTCCCGCCACAGGCACCAGGAGACGGTCTACAAGGTGGGCATCTACGGCTGGCGCAAACGCTGCCTCTACCTCCTCATCCTCGTGCTGACCTCCGTCATCATAGTCAACGTGGCACTCACCATCTGGATCCTCAGGGTTATGAATTTCACAATGGTGAGGAAAAAAATATCACATTTTCACTTAAAGCTACAGTCCATCATTTGCAGCTATCCAAAAAGTCATCTTCATTAGCCTAATTCAATCCACTGCTGGATGAAGGCCTCTCCACTAACTTTCCATGCTTTTCGGTCCCTTGCCAGTTGTTTCCATTTCTTCCCTATGAAATCGGAGATTTCATCTCGCCATCTCTTAGGCTGTCTTCCTCTTCGCCTCTTCAATGATAATGGCGTCCAATCCATTACTTTCAGGGTCCATCTGTGGTTGTCTCTTCTCATGACATGTCCTGCCCAACTCCACTTTTTCTTTTTGATCTCAACTATTATGTCTTGCACCCCTGTCTTTCTTCTAAGATATTCGTTCCTTATTCTGTCTCTCTTTGTGACCCCAATCATTATTATTATCCAAAAAGTAACTGGCGTAATTATTGTTGAAAAACATACTTGGTTGGAAGATAGTAAGGGGACTAAACTCCCTGTGAAATTATTCTTTCTGACAAGTTGTCATTTTGAAGAAATCAATGAAGGAAGGCCTTTCCAACGGTGCGTCTTAAGACACACCATTGGAAATTTCAGTTAGTAGTTCCGGTTTTTTTATTCGGCGAAGCGCGCGCAAGCGTAAGCACGACGCACATACTCGCGCAGTTGCTATTATTCGTCGGATCGGTGCGGGACATCGCGTAGCTGTAATCGGCTCAGTGAGAACGTGGTTCGGACGCTGAATTGAGGCCCAATTCAAAACATGATTCAGCAAGTTTTGATTTGAAATCGAGATCATAGAATGTTGTTTTTCTCGAAATTTACAGCTGAAGCTGAGCTGAAAGTTCATCAGGTTAGTTGTTCAGCACCCTTCTTTAGATTTTGAGCACTTCTGTTCCTTCAGACGAACAAAATGCACAAATTACAAATGATGGACTATATCTTTAATTGTTTTTGGAAGAATTAAGGAATTTCAAAAGTTTACTGGAAAAGAATGGTAAAACAAAGGATTCTGGCACAGTGATCAAATACATTTTTGGTCTTGTCTTGCCCTTCATTATCCTTACTCAACTGTGTGAAATTTATGAATTTGCTTCTTTCATAAATGCATCCTTTTCTGTCCCCCCCCCCCTCCACCCATGCTACCTAACAAGTCTGAAGGACTATATTTTCCATTTTGTGGGTCTTGCTCTTGTAGTAAATGAGAGAGTGAGATGTTAACCATCACCATTCATGACATGATCATGTACTACTGTGTTTGCAGCATACATGTACATGTAGCATCAACCTTAGTCAGATCCAGGGTTTTTGTTTAGTATTTAGAATTAGTAACGATCGGTCAGATTCTGCCTCCGGTCGATTATACTCCTGCTAAAGGTAATGAAAGGGGGAGAATTGGACTGGAATAAGGAAAACCAGCACTGCCTAGTGTAACAAAATATAAATAAATTACATTAGGCCAACAAAAAAAAATAGTCGGTCTATGGTCAGACCGAAGTTCCGGAATTGATGCGGCGACGCGTTTTTTTTGGGTTTTTTGGTGGCTTTTTTTTTGTCAAGCTTGTATTGTACAGACAAGGTGGGTACTATTTTGCTTTTTTGTGTCCTCATTATACATTGGTGTCCTCCATAAATTGCCCTGGTGCCCTTTATCATTTGCCTTGGTGCAATTTCCCCATTCCTTGGTGCTCCTTGGTACAACAATTTGAGGAGGCGCGGCAATAGAGGGCGCTGTTGTAGCTTCCGTGTTAATTTGAAGAAAAAAAAGGTTGGCGCGCATGATTAAAATCGACGCGCACGCTGACCAGAGACCGAGTATTTTTTTTTTTTGGCCTTAGATCCAAAAATTTAAAATATACTGGTATGGGTTTTAATACTGTTTCCATCATATTTTTTTTTTGGGGGGGGGGGGGGAGGGGGTGTATGCGGGCCCAGACAAGCAATGTTGTATTCTATCAATGTTGTTTTCTCTGTCATGGTCCTCCCATCTCCAGTCTGGTATCGGCAAGTTGCATTTATCAAGTAAAGGCGTGACGATAGGAGGCGAGGCTGAGTTTCTGAAAGCGCTGTATGCTGCAGAGATCAAGTCCAGACAGGTCAGTATGTGATTAAACACAGAATTTCTGGTCTACATGTAGGCTGCAACGTAGCCTAGTGGTAATAAGGTTTGTGGCTTCTGATTAGAGGGGCAGGAGTTCAAATCCAGCTGCTGGCCATGTGTTGTGTCCTCGGGCAAGCCACTTTACCCCACTTGCCTCTCCGTGATGGACTGGCATCTGATCCAGGGAGAAAAGAAATATGTTTAGATTACAATTTTTCTGATGGGAGATTGTAAGTGGTCGATGTACCTTTTTTGGGCCCAATTTATCACAAAATGGGAAATCAGTGTGGAAAGGTCCCTACAGAGGGAGAACGATTTCTGACCAACATTCTTCGGCAGTACTTGGAACATCACTCACATTTTATTTGAATAGAAAACAACTTGCAAAGTGTTTCAGTTTGTGAGATTCTCCTTATCAAGCAAAAAATAAAAAAATAAAAAAAAAATAAGCAAAAACACAAACAATTTTGCATTTTATGTGCTTGATGTTATATTTCAGGCAGTTTTTTGGTCAAAATTGTCATTTAAGGATTTAGCGTATTAAACTGATTTTGTATAAGCATATGAATTTTATATTTTCAAAGGGGAAACATCCACACACAAAATTACTAAAGTTTAACATAACTTTTGTAATCCATTTCTTTAAAACTTGACTTGGACAAAATCCACATGATTGGGATCCCTTTTGCCATTTAATTGTACAATAAAGCGATTTTGTACTCCGCAGTCAGTCACTGGTCACAGAAAGCATGCGTTTGAATACAAAATTGGCGTTAATTTCCTTGCGGGGGGAACAGTCTGTAAAGGTTAATTGGATTTTAGAATCCAAGTCGAAACACGACAGGAACATGTTAGGGAGGGTGATTGAATAGTCCTGCCTGTATGGGGAGACGTTGGGATTGCTTAGAAATGCCCATCCTGCGTGGGCTGTGATTCTGGTGGGAAGTAATTTTGATGAACAATTTTTAAAAAGTGACGCTCCCCCCCCCCCACCACAACCGAAATCTCACAGAATAATGCAAATCCATCTTGTAATAGTTTCATTGCGGTACCCGCTGCTATATCAGATTCGAACTGGCTAGCTGACCCTGGCAAGCTTGGTGGTCGAGTGGTAAGACGTCTGCACTATCAAGCCGGAGTCGTGGGTTCGAGTCCCACCCGAGTACGCTTGTGAATCTTTTCTTGCAAGCCCTTGGACAACACTGAGTATACAGTGCTTATAATACATCGGTGAAGGGCAACACCCAGTAGAACCCAATATAAAATTTACATTTCCCCGACGAAAATTCCATCTTGTAATAGAATGCAAGTCCAGTCGTTCAGTCACATCCGAGACAGGAGTGAAGTTTCCAATCATCTGATGTTGAAGGCCCAAACCTTAAGAGAAAAAATTACACCTTGAAAATGATTGCCGACAAATTTAGTATTGAAACCTGTGTATGCCTTTTAGGCCAAAAAAAAAAGTATTTAGTCTCTGGTCAGCGCGCGCGTCGATTTTAATCATGCGCGTCAACCTTTTTTTTTTCCAATATGTTCCGCGGTAGCTCCAACAGCGCCCTCTATTGCCGCCCCTCCTCATTTTTTTTTACCAAAGCGCACCAAGGAATAGGAAATTCCACCAAGGCAAATGATTGAGAGCACCAAGGCAAATTATGTAGGACACCAATGTACATGAGGACACCCAAAAAGCAAAATAGTACCTCACCTTGTCTGTACAATCCAAGCTTGAAGAAAAAAAAAAAAGCAAAAAAAAAAAAAAAAAAAGCCGCGTCCCCGCGTCAATTCCGGAACTTTGGTCTGACCAGAGACCGATTTTTTTTTTTTTTGGCCTTACTTGTGAATTTTGAAGCTGATCGGAATCGATGCAGAGAATTCTGATATTGACCTTTTGAAGAACAAACAAAAAACAATTTTAATTTTGACTGAGGAAATTGATTTGAGCAGTGTTTGAACCTGCGACCTCCGTTCTGGTGCTCTACCAACTGAGCTATCCAGCCCTATGTTGGTGGTTCCCCATTTTGTCAGTGGCTTTGTTCAAGGGCACTAGTCCGAATGTAGAAATGCAATACTATGTGGCAGTTTTGTAAGGTACACGTGTAGAGATTGTGCTCTAAAACTAAAATAAATCAACTGTTTATTGCACAATGTTGTCGTAACAGCTTTCTTTTTCTTTTTTTGTACAGGATAAAAACCTTGTATTACAGTCAGCCAGAAATGTAACGATAAATGCCAGAAACGGGTTAGAAAACACAACAAAAGGACGATTAATAGTTGGTAAGTCTATGAGTCCTTGAGTGCATTCTGCTTGTTCTTGATTTCCAAATTTGAAAGAAATATCATCTGTGATATTTTCCCATAAATGACAGTTGACAGTTTTTTTATTCTTAGGATTATTGTTTAATATTTTCTGGCATTGTCTTTGATGCTCATAAAAAAATAGCTAGGGTCACAATTCACAATTTTGGTGAACAATGTTATTCTGTGTTTATGATCTCCAGATAAGCACAGTATTTCTTTGGGTTGTAGACATAAAGTTAAACCTGTGCACATGCACATAAACCAACACATCCTTGCTAAAATTTGAAATACAGGGTGAGTAAAAAAAAAAAAAACCCAATTGTCGGGACTACTGTTTTATTGAAGTTCTGCATGTAGCACTTTCAAACTCTAGGATATGAAAGCCCAATTCATCAGCTTTCTTTTGACACAAAAATCATTGAAATCACTCATGTACTTTTTAAGTTACGGAATTTTAAACACAACCACCGTTTTAAGGTTCTGTCCACGGATCACAAAAAAGCATAGCTGCCAACTAGTCTGATTTTTTCGTAATTATTACGAATTGTTTGTTAAATTACGAAAATACGATTTGCCACTAAAACATTACGAATTTCCCATTTTCTACCTAACGAAAAAAAAAATGTAAAGTATCGTTTTTGACCGAAAACCTCTGGCGAAATGTCGCGATAATGGATGGACTGGTGACAAGTCTAATAAGAATGCAGTCAAGCACCTGATAGACATCAATGCAGTGTGCACAGTGGAGTACTTGAGGACCAGACTAACATGACTAAAACTATTTTTCAATGGTGTGTCATTTGTGTGCATCTCGTGGATGTGTGGTTGTGTGTACTGTATGTGATTCCTTTTCAGTGACGATCGTGAGCACATTTAGTCGCTTATTACCGGGATGAGACCCATTAGTGCGAGATTTTAATCATGGAATTTAATAAGAGTATGGTTGGAATAATTGGTAATAGAGTTTGAGTTTGTCACAACAGACAGAAAAGATAAATCAGCATGCGTTTGCAAGGTATGTTGGCGGCATATTTCTATTGCATACGGTGGCCATAGATCATTGTGTGTAAAAACATGATACGAACTCGAAACTCAACATCGATAGCATGCATCTCCAAAAAAATATGCGCACATGTTATTGATGTTATAATTTATTTGACTTCAACAAACAAATACAGACATTAAAACAAAATTAATTAAATTTTTCTTTTTTAAATTTTTTTTTTTTTTTAAATTATCTGTTGGCCTACAGTACATTATTATCCACAACAAGAAGGGTATGCACATGTATGTGTACATGTAAACCATGTACCTGTACTCGATGTTGGTAAAGCTTTTGATAAAACGAGAAGTTGAAAATGACCGGGCGGGTTGATTACTAATTGGGATTTTGAAATGTTGGCAGCTATGAAAAAGGTGTGCGTTCTTTCAGCAAAATGAAAACAATTCACACACATCCCTATGTGATTTCTTTTCATAGAACCTTAAAATGGTGGTTGCATTTAAAATTCTGTAACTTGAAAAGTACATGAGTGATTTGAATGATTCTTGTACTAAAAGAAAGTTTAAGAATTGGGTTTTCATATCCTACATTTTGAAAATGCTACATGCAGAACTTCAATGAAACAATGGTCCCAATATTTGGGTTCGTTTCTTTTTACTCACCCTGTATGTTACTGTATTCTTGTATTAATTAGCACAAATGTTTTCCTACAGTTAGACATATATATTCATTCCTTATAGTCTTGGTCCAAGCCTGCATTTTTATTTCCCTATTTTGCAGCCAGTCCTGTGACAAACGTGGTTAAGTTGCCACGGCAGTGGAGGTCCCTATCAACTAGACGAATCAAATCTAGTCTTGGCAATATTGGCAGCGCTACCCAGGAAATTCCAAGCATACCTCACGCGCATGCATTAGCTTGAATACACATCGCGTGTGAGGTATGCTCCGAATTTCCTGGGTAGCCCTGCCAATATTGCCAAGACTGGATTGGATTGATCTTGTTAACAGACCTCGCTTGTCCAGAACCAGCTGTAGAAGGGGAATAAAATCCAACTCCACTCTTGGACCAATTGTTTACAGTAAGCAGAGCTCTAAAATAGTGCCCCGATCTCGAAACTATTTTGACATTTTTTTGTCTAATCATATAAGTGCAGAAGGGTCATGACTCCCTGGAAATATCGCTGCTTAGCTTGAAGGGTAACAAAAAGCATTTTCTTTCCTTTGTGTTCTAGGTCCAGAAAGTTTAGTTTCCTACAACGATAGATTTGTTATCTACGACACCAAGAACAAAATGTTATTCTATGCAGACGAGAACGAGGTGGTCATTGGTGCCAAAAGGGTCACATTTACAGGTAGGTCAATGCAATGTGATCTATATCACCTGTTCTATCACCATGCAAGGTGCCAAAACCACCCTTGAATCTTAAAGGGAAGATACAACATTTGCAAACATCAAAAAACGAAATGATCAAATTAGCACAAAATACCTGTAATACTGGATTGTTAGGGAATGACAGTCTAAAGCATCCCATAAAATCGTGGCTCCTGGTGTGCTGACATTTTCAAGAAAAAGTTTATTTTTCCAACGCTGGTCGGCCAACCAGTGTTGGAGAAAACTGGCTTTTTAACAACAACTGCTCCTAATTTTTCATATTTAGTTATTCTACATTTTCTTTGCAATTGATTACACACCTGTGAAGGGGTAAAAAGCCTGCTAGACTGATTCTCTGACCTTACAATTCCCCTAAATTTCTATAAATTGCTCCGTTTTATCTTAAGTGGGGTCAGGGAACTAGACTACAAGAACATGGTTGGTTTTTTTGGATTTCCCAGCATCTACAAGCCCAAAACGTGAAACAAGTCAGTTTAACAATATTTGCTACAACATACTATTCCTCCAAATCCATTTATTTCTGAAAATTGCAGCACAAGCAAATGTTGTACATTCCCTTTAATGCAGTGTGATATATGATTACCGTACAATCACCATTCAAGGCGCAAAAAACACTCTTAAATCTTTATTGCTCTGTGCACCAACAAAAGAGGGCACTCTTTTTCTCCTAGCAGGGAGTGACTGAGTGAAGAACACCCACATTTCACTGTTTCAAACTTGAAAGGCAATGTTCATTTTCACCACAATCCCCAGCACTTTCTAGATATTGAAATTTGAAATGCATTTTGGCTTCAAACATCGTGGGTTCCCCTCCCTTTCCTGTTTTCCCCAAACCAAAGTAAAAACTTTGGTTGAAGGCAACTTTTTACACTTAATAAAAAAGTTGAAGGTGGAAAATGTGCTCTTCCACCTCATCAAAACTTTCTAAATTCCTTGAGGAATTTGTAACATTTTCACTCTATAAAACAGCAGCAGACATGTTATTACAAATTTGTTTTACTCACTGATTTGTCAAATTTAACAACACATTTGAACCCTGGTCTTGTTCCTTCCATTCTGTTCACAGGGAGTGAAGGGACGGCGTTTAAGGGGCCCATCCAGACACCTCATGTGACATCAGAGTCTGGACAAGATTTAAGGTAACCCACATACATGTACTGGTATAGATATGATATGAAAAGCAGAGTAGAAGGCAACATTTTTGATTCCAAGTTCCATACAAAACTATAGGTGTTAAAAAAAGAAACTGCTTTTAATACAGGAACTGTTTTAGATTTTAAACGTGCTTTTTTTTTATATTCTCCAATGGCATGAAGAGATTTTCTCCAAAGTCTGCTTCAACTATGAGCAAGTTCAGGCGCAAACTATAGTTAACGCTAGCCCCCTAGTACTTCCTCAGGACTACCCTGCTAAATCGAGCAGAGTCCAACCGGACGTTCCTGTTCAATCCACTGTGCCTCATTTTCAGTTGTCTGGTGAATCCAACGGAGTCCAACAATGCGTTATAATGCAGTTCAGTTGCCTGCTGAATCCAACATTTTGCATGAGGAATGTACACAAGGGGTTAACTGCTCAATCCAACAGGCTCCATCGGGTATGTGATATAGTTGGATCCTGTTGGATTCAGCAGGGTTAGGGTTAAGTTTGAATAACTGCGCTCGAACGAAGGACAGTTGGACTACTCTAGTCAACTATTTGGAACCGGAGCCCGGGGCATGGTTGCATCACTGGTTACCAATAGCTGCGGGCATCATGAATTACAATGGGGAGCCAGGACTTGAGACCATCGTTTGATTAGAGCCATTCTGGCGTTGTTATTAGTGCGCAGGTGTATGTCACAAATCAGTCACTAGTCAAGTAATGGTCTTCGCCCAAACTTGCTGTATGTTGCCATGCGTACCACTTACTTGTCAAGCAAACATACAAAGTTTCAAAAAATAAAAAATCTGATGAAGCAAGTTCGAACAGTTCACCACTCAACACAACCAAAGCCAACAGAAGTTGTTGTCCCATAGTTGGGTTTAGCACGGCTTCACCACTGTACTTTCTGTTTTGAAATTGTTTGTTTTCAGGCTGGAGTCCGTGTCGTCAAATTTAATCGTAGAATCCCCTCAAACCGTTAGCCTTACCTCACCGATTGGACAAGTTTCCGTCTCATGTTTTAATGACATCAACCTCCGATCCAGGCAGGGCAAAGTAAGTCCAATGTAGTGTTTGCTTGTGATTTGACTTGTGTTTTGCTCTTTTGTTGTGATTCCAGTGAAATTTACATTAAGATCAATTTGTGCATGATGAAAGCCTGTTCATTCAATATATGTTTGTAACCTTGAAAACTTACAGCATGTCAAAAACCTTTTGTTTTGAAGTGTCTGGAGTCTATTCTTAGGGGAACTGAAAAAGGCAACCACAGGGAGTTAATTCATCAAAAAAGTTGGAGAAATTCCAAATTGGACGTGTTTTGATTTGATTCTTAGCCTAGCTTAGTAGCACATGTATCCGGGTATTTAATATCCTCACGTTTAACAATTTAAAGATTAGCTTGGTGAAAATGTTCCCTTTTTTTTTGTCGGGTAACAAAAAAATTTATTCATGGCTCTTCTGTATAATTACCCTTCCAGATATCCCTGGACGCGGCCCACGTCGAGATCAAGAACCTCCAGGAGAGTGCCTCAGGAACCAGCAGCGATGCTGACGTCTTTGAACTGTGTGCCTGTCGGAACGGCCGCCTCTTTCTGGCCCCGCCCACGACAGGGTGCCAGGCCAGGGCGGAGCTGTGCGACTAATCAGTGTGCACGACTTGCCAGCGCTGTAAAAACCCAGGTGACTTTTTATACATTGCAAAATCGGCCGGAGTTGCTAAAAAATTATCAACTTTGCGAAACACTGACAAACGTGGAGGTACTTTCCTATTCGGTCAAGGTATGGCGGTTTTAAAGGTTTGGAGGTGGAAAGCAATTTTAAATTGGTTGTAAATGGTTGGTCTGTTATAGTCAAAGTGAAAGAAAGTTAGCGTGTACCAAGTCTTTCATTGTAGGACTTAGTGAGGGTGGCCATCTTTGCCTCCCTTCGTACAATGGCTGTTTCAGAAACCTCGGATTTGGCTGCAACTCTATTAAGGGCCTGATTGTTTCATTCCAGATCCTGATCGAGATCATGTAATCCAGCGCCGTGCGAAAACAAACAGGCGCACGCGAATGTCGTCTGCTTCAGAGTTTGTAGGCAGAAGAGCTATTTTTTGACAAGCTATCTATAATTTCCAGAAAAAGTAATCAATTGTACTATTTTTAATCACGAAAATACATTCTAAAAGATTTATGAAGACATATTGTCACAAAAGCTCAACTGATGCTTCAAATTTACTAAAAACCTCACTTTTTCTCTCAGTCCGTCGCGCACGCTGCCATGTTTGATCTTGCGAACACACCTCGCGAGCAGGATCCGTTAAAAGCGTTATCGCGATCCCGATCTGCACGAAACAAACAGGCCCTAAACTCTGCTTTAGCAACAGTTTGAAAGCTTCGATCAAGTTAGGACTATGGCTCTTTAGATTGTGTCATTCTGCTGTGCATGAAGCCATGGCGTCATTCAGTCTGGTGCATGAGGCAAAAGCCCGAAGCCAAAGCCGAGGTTTGAGAAATGGCCTGATTGTAGTCTGGCGACAGTGAGCTGCATCGGCAGTATAAGCACTGCAGTATTTTCTCGCCCTCGGGGAGCTAGACATCAAAATGGCCGCAGACTGGTAAAGGCCCAGCGGTTTGCAAACCTTCGCAATGGGTGAGGCAATAGTGTTTGGATAATGAACTGAAATGACCTGTTCACAGTTTACAGAGACTTACTCTTTCTGTTCAGAAAGAGTGCATTGTTTTAGTTTGAAAATGTTGATACTTTTGAAGAACTCTTTGAATACAGCAAGCATTCCATTGTGCTCACATAAAACTACAGTTCATAACTGTGAAACTATCATATTAAAACAGTATTATTATTTATGGTCATTTTTTATAGTCTTGAGATATTTTGGGGGTGAAAATTGAAACCTTTCCCCTTATAGTAATTCATTTGTATGAGAATTTTTCTCAAAATTGTATTTGAGTAATATACAATGTTATGTAGATGGCCCTATAAATGACATGGCTCAAAAACTGGACTTCATCCGTACTTAGAGCCACACAGCAATGCATGCTAAATTTAGTAATCAAAGGTAGAGTACATCAATCGCAGCTATCCAAAAAGCAACTGACAAAATTATTGTTGAAAAGCGTACTTCGTTTGAAGATAGTGAAATCACCACATCCAGTGAAGGTGGCCGTGTAACGCAGCTTCTCTGCAAGTGGGTGGAACCATTTGGCCTGGTTTTGGTTCTGCATCTGCATGGCGGGATTGACGAATAGGGTGTTGTCGTTGTTTTGGATGTTGATTCCCCGATGGACCGAACTCTCAATAATGTCTTCAGTGTTGAGGCAATCTACAGCTTAAGATGGTTCGTCCGCTTTATCCTTTCGCATCCATCACAAGGGCATTTCTCTTTACACTGTAGTATGACTGTATCAGAGTAGGAAAGTGGATTGTTTTTTTTGGTTTTTGACAGAAAATCAATGTTGGATATGTAAGACTCGCCAAAAAAACTTTCCACTGAGATTAGTTTTGTCAGATTGCAGAAAGTGAACGGAACTTTTTTATAGGAAAATGCAAGTTGAACAATGTAGGCTATATCTGGCTTGGTTCTTTGTCGCGTCTAGTTCCCAATCCTATTTACTTAAACTCAATGGTTCTTGAGTCTGGCGCTGGTAACTCATCACAACCAGTGAAAACTGGAGTGCAAATGAACAAATGCGCCAACGAAAGAGGGTGCCCTTTTACCTAGCAACGACGTCCCATGGGCGGGACATTTAGCTGGTTGACATGCACCGTTCCTTGTGTGTGACGCACGTACACCAGGGGATTTGCAGTGGAATGGCTGCACGTTGCGGCAAAATTGCAGTCGGGCAAGATGGCGTCAGTCGGTCACCCCCAACTGTACTTTCTTTGCTGATGAGGGGGTACTTGTGAACGGAGCGGATAGAATCAACTGCATTGCAGGAAAAGTGTTTTACATCACATGAACATGAGGTTTTGCCTGGAGAAGGTGCACCAAAGTTCAGTGTCTGACATTTTGACTCAAGGATGGTTGTTAAGATCAAGCTTCTTGATCGTGTTCTTTGTCCTGCATTTTACACTGTGATGTCAACATTTTTACAATGATCCACGTACAAGTTTTTATATTTTTGGTACAGTGGATCCCCCTGATCTCAATCTTTATCAAGAAAAGCCAGGGGCCAATTTCACAACGCTGCTAAGCACGAAAATTTGCTTGGCACAAAAAAAAGTCTGGCTTATAAAAGCAGGTTACCAGCCAAAACTCCACGTGATGTATATTGCTCGAGATTAGTATTCAGCGGTTGTTTGCTTAGCATGAAATTCACATGGAGTTTTGGCTGGTAACCTGCTGTTACAGTATAAGCCAGACTTTTTTTTGTGCTAAGCAAATTTTTGTGCTTAGCAGCGCCGTGAAATTGGGCCAGTTTGAGGAAAGATGGGCTCAATATTGATTGAGGGAAATCTGGTTGACCGTGTAATTAACTTCATTTTCAGAATCGGTGAATTCCGAGCTTTATTTGGACAATTAAACTCAGATAAAATTGTGGCCTTAGCTCGATGACCCTTGTGCCCTGTGACCTCATGAACTTTATATACAGCCCTTGGCACATTGTCCCTTACCCTATAAAAAATAAATTAATACATCTTGTTGCTTACCATCGAACTAATGAAGCGAATTTATACATGTAGAAGTTCCACAATTTATTGGCTAGCTGTTTTCTTGGGACATCTTACGAGCTCTTTTGAGAACTATTTCTAAAGACGTTGTATAGTGTATATAATATGCACGTTGGGGAGATATTTTATATGCACGTAATGGCATCCAGAATGCTGGTAAATTTTAAATATTTGTGTAAATACGTATAGCTAGAAATGTTTCTATATACCGGTAGGTTTGTAGAAATATAGCGCAGAAACCAGTGGATTCCATCACATATAGTTTTATGAGGTGAAGGGATGTACCATGAAACTATCAATCATGTAATATCACATGCACTACAAACCTCATGCTAGAATTGAACATACATGTACTTCGAACCTCATGTAATAGATAAACCTCGCGTAATAGATAAACCTCACATGCACTTCCCACCTTTCATGTACAAGCTACGTATCCTCACCTGCACTTCCCACCCAGTGTTATTTAATGCCAAGTGCACTTTCCATGTTTGGTAGCCTCATGAGCTCTGCACTGCAGACTCCATGATGGGTGACCTCAATCCTCCTGCACATTTCCCACCTTAAGTTCTAACTTCTAAGCACTTCCCACCTCATGCTAGATAACCTCATGCTAGATAACCTCATATGCACCTCCTGTCGGTAGCCTCATGTATACTTCCCATAGTAGGCATTCTCACATGCACTTCCCACCTCATGCTAGATAACCTCATTTGCACCTCCAGTGCTACATGTAGGTAACCTCATGTGTACTTCCCATAGTAGGCATTCTCACATGCACTTCCCACCTCATGCTAGATAACCTCAAGTGCACCTCCAGTGGTAACCTCCAGTGGTAACTGCATGTGTACTTCCCATAGTGGGCGATCTCACATGCACTTCTACTATGAAACCTCACATGTACAATCCATGTTTGGTATCCTCATGTGCACCTCTCAAGTTAGGTACATGTTCATGTATTGTCACAATGCAATAAGCACCTCGTGAGCTACGGTATGTTACCCCTAATGCACTTTTCACCTCACTGTTAACTTAATATTGGTAAGCTCAAGCTCAAAATACATGTAAGGCAATGGAGAGTTTAGTTATGATTTTTGTCAACATTAGAACATTTCCTTATAGAATTTTTTTTTATATCAATCCTTACTGATTTTTCCTGATATATTGCGTTCAAGTTTATCGCAACAAAGTGGTAACAAACCGACCATGCGATGTCTCATTATATTTAGAAGTAGTCATATAAAGGTAGGGTATTCCATTCATACAAATGTAGAATTTGTATGAATGTAATGTGTAAATTGTTATTCATACAGTTTTCCAAACAAAGTTTTCTAAAAATCATGCATGTTTTGATTCTTTCATATTTATTGTGCTTTCTGCACCTGTTTTTGTATAAAGAGAGTCCAATTTTTCACACAAAATTAGGGGCACTCTCATTGGCTGCATTTTTCAAGGCCAAACGGGCTGTTTTGCAATAGTTACATATTTTGAAATATTTTTTAAAAGGTCTTGAGAAATTCCATCGTAATCCTCCTTGTTTTTCTTGTTTGACAAATCAATTTCTAGAGTCCACATTTTCTGGAGTTGGGTTTAATACTCAAATATATGAGAGAAGTGATTGTTCAGTGTCTTTTCCATACAAGACTTTACCCTATACGGTGTATATTGTATTTTATGATGTGTTTCATTCATTTCTTGTGCTTTGAATTTTTTTATGGGTGTATATTTGTGAAGTAGGATAAATTATGTTTTAGCAAAGTATGAAACCCCTCATTTGCATGAGGTTATTGTTTTATATTTTTTACTTAAAATACTATAAAAGGATTTCACAGAATATCCTGTATGTTTTTTTTAAGTTGGTTTTGTTTTAGATTTTTTTTATGGGTGGTGTGTGTACATTGCCTACATTGGACTTTTTTGTTTAAAAATAACTTAAAATGTAATGGAAAGGTATTGTTTTATTAGGCGGAAGTTTTTACTACCATAAATTGTACATGAATAATTTGCATGTCCGTAGATGTTTTCCCACGTAGATTGTGTGAATGTTCAATTTTGTTTATTGCAATTGATTAAAAAAAAATAAAAGGCAAAATTGGGGATATGCAACCCTCCCCTACAAAGTTTCCTTGCTGAGAAACACTGTTAAAATGTACAGGGTTTTGGGAGAAAATATTTATTTGGCCACAAATAATTTTTTTTTTTAAATTGCCAAATTCTCACATGGGCTTTTGGAAACAATAAGCCATTTACGACTTAAATTTGAATAAAATCTGGAACGCTGACTTAATCCAATGCTTTGCACGTTTTTACTTTGCATTCTCCCGACCAAAGAGACTGTTACTATATCACGTGATTCGGGGCAAGCCTTATGCTAGCAACCCCCAGCTCCGCCATGGTCTGGTGTCTTTGTGCCATTCTCACCCATTGTGAACAGTGTATTGGTGCTGAGCGTCTCTTACGTAAAGTATGCAAGAGCTTGCCCCAAATTATGTGATAAGCAACAGTGTATTTCGTCTGGAGACTTCAAAGTTAAAATGTGCCAAGCATTCTGAGCAAGTCAGTGTACCAGATGTTTTTCAAATTTAAATCCCAAAGGGTATAGGTCACTCGCAAATGGCTTATTGTACAGTTTATACTTCTCTGTAGGACATGTTACTTAGTTCTTTAAAAGTTCAACACATTCCATGACTCAGTGTCTCAATTACCAGTAGGATAGTTTCAAATGATTGTTCTGTTGTTTTTACAATATTTTTTGGTCAATTTCTCTAGTTTACTCTCCTGTGATTTGGTGTAAATAATCTTACTTAGTTTCTGTTTCCTTTTAGCTTTGTTCCAAATGTACACATTACAGTAAATTGTATGAAAAGTAAAGAACAAGTTATGGAGGTACATGTATAAGTCCTGCAAATTTCACGAAATGCTAAATGTTTTACGTGTGGGTAACGTTCAAATGACAGATGCACAGATTTACTGAATGTTAGTACATTCAGTACATTTTGTTCCCAATAACTTAACACAGGAACAAAAAGGGCTATCCATCCAGAAGAGTTTGTGGGCCTCTGTACATGTAACTCAATTGATGAGTTTTCAACAAGTCTTTTGAAGAGTATAAATTTGCTGCAAATTGAAATGAGTGTCGTAATCATGTCACCAACAAGTATAAATAATGGTAAATAAGATATATAAATTTAAAAAACAAATTGTAAGTCATAACAGCATGTAATATGACATTATACAGGGTGGATTAAAAAAAAACCAACTGATATTATTGCTAATTGGAACAGAAGTAGAGCACATGTGAATCAAAGGGAGATATCTTCTGTTAGGGTTGAATCTCCTCTTTAAAATGACACCCTGGTCATGTCATTACATTCACGGTTGACTGAGCAGTGACCAATTTTATGAAAGAGTCTATTTAGAGACTTGTGCCACTTTTCAATTGTGGTTTTTGTGTTGTCAATTGTCACAGAGTGAAAGGCTATGGTTGCCAATCAAGGCAAGTGGGGGAAAAAAAGAGATTTCACCATGAAAAGTGGCGCAAGCTCCTAAATAGACCCTTTCATAAAATTG